AAAAAATAATTAAAAATTATCGTAAATTTTTTGAAAAGCTTTAAATAAATATTACTGATTCCATTATAGAATAATTTACATAATTGTTATTTTTTAGGATACATGACTGAAAGTGAGAGATTGTTTAAATCTTAAAAAAAAATTCAATAAAGCCATAACACAAATTAAAAGTTTTAAGAACTTATCTTCAAATACACTAAAATTTAGGTGAAATTTAATATTTTTAACCATGTTAAAAACCATAATTAAAAGACATAACTTTTCCGAACAAACCCTAAAACTATTTGCTACAAATCTCTAGATTATGAGATTGAATTGCTTTGAGTATTTAAAATGTGTTTCTCTTTACTTTTTATAAGAAATTCTTTTTATTGCTAGTCTAAAAGAAAAATTAAAAAGTCAAAACTATGATAACTTAAATGCTTTAGGTAATTTTGTAGGTTAAATACAAAATAATGAAAAGCAGAACGAGGGAAGTCACGTGTGGCTAGCACAAAACTGTACCACGTAAAACATATGACAGCACAAAAAGACATGAAAAGTTTTGGTCAACACAGAAGTATAAATAACAAAGTGGGACGGTAAATAAAATGTAAAACAAATAATTTTTTATGCATTAACTGTCTGGGTTATTGAGAAGACACAGCTAAAGCATGCTTTGGCATGCCAACATCACCACGTGGAGCTTTGTAAAGTTTGCTAAAAAAACCTAACAAATTTGCTTTGTGCTGCAATTAAGATTATCAAAATGTCAGATTTAAGAAGACATTTTATGCAAAATCAAGCCTAAAATACTTCATGAGCAAGACACAATTCTCGATGCGTGACTAGGAGTGAGCATTCGGTTAAACGATTCGATTTTGTACGATTCGATTCGGTTTTTTGTTAACCGAATTAAAAAAAATAAAAACCAAAACCGAACCGAAATAAATTCGATAAATTCGGTTTGTAAGCGAATTATTTCGGTTTGATTTCGAAATATTTCGGTTTTAACCAAAATATTTTATTGTAAAAAAAAAAATCATTACGAGAGAGATATTTTGTACTAGCACTTAGTCCACTAGCCAATGAAATAACATCTTGTTATCAATTAATCCTTTTTATAAACAATCATAAAGCCCTTGAAGATTTTAATTAAGCTTTAATGAAAACGAGTTCAAGTGTAATAATTTTGCTCATTCAAACACGATGTATCCCAATTAATTACACTATGTCACTTTCTTTTCTTACCCCAACGGTCCTCAAAATTTACTTCTCATCCGTGTGTTTCGGTTTCAACAAGAATGAAGATTGAAAAGTTAGGGATTTAGAAATTAGAAAATTTTTTACTATTTATTTCGATTTTCGGTCGAAATCGAATTTTTTTTCTAAAAACCGAACCAAACTAAAATAATTTCGATTTTTTTATTCAGTTTTATATTATATAATTTTATATTTAAAACCGAACTCAATTTTATAATTCGGTTCGATTTTATTTGATTTTTGGTTAACTGAATCGTTTGCTCACCTTCATGCGTCACCCAAGATGTGGAGTCATTACATATGAGATGGAAAATAGGGAACTACCATCTTCCTATCTACATGTGTCGAAGATAAAATGTTGTACCGCCATAAATACCCTTGCTCAATTAAAATCCCGAGTGAGGTCCCCGGTAGCGGGTTAGTAATAACTAAAATGACGCGACATAATTTTCTCACACCTTTTTATTAATTTTGAAGCACGTTTTTGACAAGTTGATAAAGGATGCATCGAGAGAAATTGCCTCCTTCCACTTCGTATGTCAAATCAAAACCAAATTCAATTAATAAACAATTTGTTTTGCATAAATAATTTCACACATAGAACAAGTTTTATGATATTATTATAATTATATAAAAAAAATACTATACTATTTATTTACTATTTAAAATATTATTTATCTAGATTTATTTCACTATTTACCTATATTTAAATGCATTATTCATTTTATTATAGAGTGAAGTTGTCAAATATTTTTAATATATTAATTATAAAAGTTTTTGTAATATTGTATTTTGATTTTTTTTTTTGAAATATGATTTTTTCAATCCGTTTTTTTTTATTGGTCTCTCTCTTTTGTTTCATTTTAATCATTTTTTTCCTTTTTTCTCTGATTTTTTAATAAAAAATTTTAAACCAAAAAATGTTTTAAAAAATTATAAAATAAATTTTTAACCGAGAATCCATTGGTTTTGACAATCTTTATACTATTAAATAATTTTTTTGAATTTTTTTTGAAAAATATAAAAATAGTCGATCAAATACAAAATTTGATATATTTTAATAGATGCATAATATAACACATGATATCAAAATAAAATAATTTTATGTATTTTTTCTGACTCACAACGTAATGTGTGTAAAAATTCTAATAAGTAACTATAAAAAGAAAAATATAAATAATGAAACAATGACAATAAATTATTGCGATAAAATTATGATAATTATAATGATGGTTGTGATTGAAATGAAATTGATGATGACCTCAAAAAACTGTGGTCATAGTGATGAATAAAATTATAAGTTGATTATATTTAATATATGTTTTGAGTTTATAGGTTGATTATAAAATATTTTATATTGACCATAGTTTCTATACAATATTTTTACAAAATAAAGGCTTTCTAAACGATTTTTGATAATAGCATTGCAATATATAGAGAAATTGTTTCACGGATCTAGTCTACTACTTAAGATCGAGAACCTAGCCAATAAAACTATTATAAATAATTAAATTTATTCAAATCATCAATTTAGTAGGTCATATCTGGAATTCAATATTTTGACATTTAATAGTACATTTATAATTATGGAATGAAATAAAAAATAATGCATCTATTTCAAAATAATGAGGATAAATTTAGTGATGTATGCAAATTCTATTGATTTGAATTATAATTTTAAGTGGCATACCAGACTTGTGTAATAATTTTTCCAACTTACAAGTGTCATAACCAACTAAAAACAAAGAAAAATATTAAATTAAAAAAAAAAGGAAAGCACCTATAAATGCATTATCAAATATACCTTCGTGAATAAAATATCGATATCAATTGTATCATTAAATCTGGTTAAAATAACAATAATAAAAAAAATCACTGATGCAATTTAACATTTTATCAAAGGCTGTCAACTAACTCCTAAAAATATATAATTAAAGTTGAAGCATTTGTAGGCCAAATGAATCAAACCTTTTTTTTTTTTAAAAAAAAAAAAACCTTTAAGTCATTTGAAAATCAATCACTCAACTAAAAAAAATAAAAAATTGATCTCATGCAACTTTAATCCATTTGAAATTGGACTCTTCCATCAAATTTTATAGGATTCCATCTATTATTTAGCGGATTTTTGCATGAAAATTCACGTGATTTATGTTCAAATTGATTTAAATCCTTGATTTATTGACTTATCTTTGAATCTTTATATAAATTTGACTTTTGAGAATAAGAAATATATTGAAAAAAGTGATAAACACATCCATCAATCTCATAAAATAATATACATAAATCTGATAAAATAATAAAAAATAATTTGAATTTTGAGCCATAATATAATAAAAATATATTTAAAAATGAAAAAAATATACATGAAAAATAAGAAACAACAGTTTTTTTTTCATAACAACTTGAAAAAAAAATGATTCCTTCTATTACGTTCTTTTCATAAAAATAAAATTATTCATTAATATTTTTTAAGAACTTTTCTCAATAAAAACATCTAGAAAGAATGTATTTTCCACATGCTAAATTTTTGTTTTTTTGTTTTTATCTGATTCATGGATTCTTTTTATCACTCTTTAAATATATTTTTTATTTTTTGTCCTTAAAAAAGATTTAAAAATAAGTCAATTTTTGCACAAATCACATAACTTTCACGTTCAACAATCCGTTAATTAATGGACGGAATTCTGGAAAATCTGATAGAAAAATTTAATTTCAAATGGACTGAAGTTGCAGAACGTCAATTCTAACTTTTTCCAGTTGAGGTACTAATTCTAAAATGAGTTAAAATTTATGGGAGATAAGACACTTGGCCGCATTTTTATCCCCCCACCAAGGAGGAGAACATTTGGAGGGCCTCCACAAAACACAAACCGGCAACAACCAAAAGAATCATCCAGCCACCTAAGCCCTCGTCAATGACAATCGTATGGTCAAATATGAAGCACAGAATTGGGTCCACAAGGACCGACTTGAATAACCCACTTGCCTAAGAAACCAAACAACCTTTTCTCACCCATAATAAAAAAACCAAGCCAAGGGGCGGCTCACCTGCTTTTTGATACCAAGAATCAAGACACTTGGGTTTCCCCACTACCAATAGCGTGCTGACACGAACGAGCCACAAGTCATGTTGGGACCCGCTAAAAAATTGGAAGCACTCGCCATTTACTTGAACCAAAAAAATCAGTAATTACCCAAGGAGAGAAACAAAACAAGGTGCCTGCTAACGATACAAATACATACAAAGATAAAATTTCTTATTTTCAATTTTCATATATAAACACCATCCTGCTATTGCGTAGTAGTACCTATTTTCAAACCAAGGAGTACACTGTCCTGTCACTACCCTCTCTTTCCTAAAGAACCCACCCAACAAAACCCTATTTACATTTTTTTTTCCTTGAAGCCCAAAACTAATGTATGATCATTTTAACAAGCACGCTCTATTCTTTCTTTCTGTCTTTCTTTTTTTTTTTTTTCATAAAATAAACAAGCTTACTTTCTTATTCTTGCCATCCAGTCCTTCACATTTGTATGTTATTTTCTTCTTTCCCCAACTTTTCCACTTCTATTTGCTCCTACTACTTCGTATATACACATCACATTAGATATAAAGCTAAAACCTCCAATACTGGTCCCTTTCTGTCAGAAGAGCTGCAAGTATGGGGTTGGAGAAGAGAGGCATTGGGATAACAACCATGTATATATGGGGGTGATCTAATAATTTTTGCTAAAACATCAGTTCTAATATTCTATTATTAGTCCTCCCATTGGGGCTCGGTGGGGGTTCCCTTTCTTCGCTTGGCCGTCCGGAAACTAGCTGGAGTTGGAGGTGGTGTAGAGGGAGAGAAGCTCTGCACTTTGTTCTCATTGTTGATGCTGTTCTTCTTCATGTATCGCCCGTGACTGCTGCTGCTGCTATAAGAGTCCTCCGAATCCGATGCCATTGCCATTTGTTGCTTCTTTCTCTTCTGGAAGTTCTTTGACGTCCCAACAATCTGCCATTGATACACAAAAAAAAAATCAATACATTGTGCCATTTTTACATTGTTCAATTGAGGAAGAAGTTTATGTCAAAGTAGAAACTATTAAGGACTAGAGGCAAATTCAACATAGAAATCCAATTCATTTTCGCCGCATTATGTCGTTTGCTGGTTGATGAGAAAATTGTGGGAAGGCAAATGAAGTTTTCAATACCCACATTGCCTTCTCATTACTCCCTCCGTACAACGAGAAAAGTCAACTTACTGTGACCACCTAGTACTAGCATAAAATTCAACTAAGTTGAATTTTCCAAATGCTTGCTGACCAAGAAAAATAACATTGTGGCTTTGTGGGCAGGTCTCAATCTCATTTTCCCCATTGCTTTCCAGTCCCCTTTCCCCAAAACTTTCTCAGCAACCAAACAGAGAAGAAAAAGGAAAGATGGAAAATAAATTTTTTACAGGCAATGTAATTATACCTTGCATCCAAGAGAGCAGAAGCGGAAGGAATCGAGGAGGCTGCGCTCACAGACCTCACAGGTGTTGGTAACACCTTTTCCAGGCCTAGGCTGAGGCCTCTCATTCAAAAACACAACTCTGGCACTGTTGATAACATAAGTTTGGACACCAGAGATGTCTAGCACCTTCTGTATTTCAGACACCCTTATGACATCATGGTATGAGGACCTCCTTATCTGTAGATTCATAAAGAAACAATAAGAGACATAGTGTTAGACCATGCGAAACTCATGATTTCTTTTTTGTAACTGTCCAGAATGGAGTCATGAAAAAAATGCAAACCCATGTGCAACTTTAGCAGGATATGGAAAACCCATCAAAAAAAAATTGAAAAAAAGGATTTCAGCATTGGTAAAATTCATTGGCCAAATCCGTCCATTTGGGGGTGAGAAAATGTAAGAAAAGAGAAGTTTAATTTTGAAAAGTAGAATCTGCATTCAATTAGAGTAGATTGAGTTGAGATTTTGAAAACCAAAATTAAAGAAAATCATTTTCACACAGCCACTATAAATGGAAATTAAAACAAATTTAATAGATTAGATTTACAGTGTCCAAAAAGAGTAAAAGAAAATAGAGGGATTCTCTCAGTCCCAGAGAAGGAAAGCAAAAAACAAACTTTGCAAAAAAAGAGTAGAAACCAGGACTCAAAATCAAAAACTTTGAAAAGGATTAGCAAAAACGCAAATACATAATTAGTAAACAATTGAATTTACCTGAATATAGCGGTGATCCTTGTGGTGGGCAAGGCAGAGAGAGCACAGAGCACCATTCATACAATCCAAACAATACATATTGCATTCACTCTTGTGTGAATCAGCGTGCGGCTTGCATTGAACAAAGAACCTCTCTCTCAACAAAGGTTTAAGCCATGGCGGCCACCTGTTGTCCTCATCATCAGGTCCTCCAGCTCCCTTTACAACACAACACAACACAACAGATTGTTATTATATATATATATATACAATAAGAATCTTTCAATCAGTAAAACAGAAACAACTACCATTGTACTAAAACAATGGTACAAGTACATAGAAATCAGAAGGCATAAAGAGAAGCTCAAAATTTCCACGGACAAAAAAGCACCATGTAAAATGAGAGGCATTTTCCACAAAATGTAATTGTAAGACATTTTAAAAACAACAACGAGTGTTTGAAATCCAAAAAAGAAAACGAAGAGCTCAAAGGAAAGCAAAAACACACCATTATTCTCCTGTTTTTAGGCTTGATAGTAGTTTCTTGATTCTCGATCGCCAGCTTGAATGACTAAAAAGAAACAGAACACTCTGTTTAGTTGAAGAGAAATAGAAGAAAATAAGCAAAGTATGTTATGGTTTGAAATAGAGAAAGAGAGATAGAGAGAGTTTTCGTGTGTATGTTGGGTTGTGTTGTGTGGTGTTGGGTTGTGGGCTAAGAAAAGAGAAGGGAGAAGAAGGCTTTTAGTTTTAGAGAAGTGGAGGCGGCTGGGAGAGAGATTGAATGGGGGTTCTTGAAAGAGAGAGGGGTCGTTCTTATCTTCACACAAAAGAGAAAGTCTACAATACACCAAGCCTAACTCCGAACCCAAACCTCTAATAAATAAGTCATAAAGATGCGTTGTGTGCAAGGAACCCACCTCATTTTTTCCTTTCATTTTCATTGCATTTGCATCTTCTCTTATCTTTGGTCTTATCGTATTTTTCTTTTTTAATTTATTATTTTTTTCTTTTTTTTTCTTTATTTAATTTAATATCTTTGTTGTCACTCATTATTGGGGGTTACTTTTTTTTAAAAAAATATGTGGGTTATTTAATTCTAATACTGATTTTTGGGTCATATCTACTAAGCTATGCTCAATACGTGATAGATAGAGTTTCATGTTTTATACTGTAGTGGATTGGATAGACATCTCATGTCATATCTTTTATTTTTGCAAATTCTGGGGGAAGGTGGATTACTTGTCTTCATCCTATCGAACTCATTCTTGCTGTGTTTGGTTGTTTTTTTTCCCCTAATTATTATTATTATCATTCAATCTGTCAGACTATGCAAAATATATACAAGTTTTCTAGTCTCGTCATACAAAACAAGGTGCTCATATATAACTGGTTGGACTCCTACTTTTTTTAATTTAAGGATATGTTTTTGGTATGCTTTGAGGGATAGATGAACCGGTGGATCAGTGATGGTACAAATTAAATTAGCCTATTGGGCAAACCTAATTCATTTGGAATGAAAGCTAACAGAGGTAGTATATCACTGAGACCGGTTAATGTCAAGGTTTGGCCCTAATCATGTCAAGTTCGGTTACGGTCGGCTATCCCAGCTAAAAGAACAAAACCACTTCGTTCTGTAGAGTTTCTATCATTTATAGGACAAATGTTGCAATTAAGGTTTAAATCTTATTGTGCATTATATATATATATATATATATATATATATATATGTTTTTAGCTTGTAGATTGTTCTTCCCTAAAAAAAAAAAAAAAAAGATAAATTGTTGTTTTGGGACCATCAAAGGCTAGAACATGAAATTTTTATGTACAATTTCTTTTAAAACACTGTACAAACAGATTTAGTCTGATAATGTGTATAGTTTTTTTTTAGTGAAACAAAATTTGAATTCTAATGATTTATTTTTTTATGATTATGTAATAAAAAAACTACTTTTGTTATTTAGTTTGAAAATTCATAAACTTTTGATGAATAAAAAAAATAAAAGGACGGATTTGACTGTTTGAGGACTTGCAAATTAGGAAAGAGCTGCTTTTATTATATGGCAAAAAAAATTGATTATTATCCATTTCTATAAATGCAGAAAGCGAGAAAATAAACATTTTTATGACCTTTTACTATCTAAATTTTGAATGACAAAAAAAAAAAAAAAAAAAAAAAAACTTTTACCCGCAAGACTAGGGCTCCAAGAATAAATACATGCCATTATTGTTATTATCAACATGTGTGTGATTTTTGACAAAACGCTTTGAGGCATCGGAAAAAAAAGAAGAAAGAATTCCTATTTCCTACCTACCCTTCATTTTGTCACGATTTCAAATTAGAATAAAGAATATTTGTTGCTTATTGGGAAGTTTTCTCTAGATACCAGCTTAATTGGTTGAACAATTCAACTTACAATATTGATTTGAGCACATTAACGTGAAGTACTGCTTTCATTACATTAAACTTTTACTCACACAAAAATAAAATCTATAATAACAATTATTTATAGGTCTGATTTTTATGTAAACGAGAAAACAGTCTGCACACTTAATCCTCTCTCTCTCTCTATTCATTGGAAGCTTAATGGACCTATTGGATTATACAATGAGCTATCTTTTTCATTACATAATCATTCAAAAAATTAGAATCATCAGTATTCAAACCTTACTTCACTAGAAAAGCTAGTTAAATAACAAAAGTTAGACTAAACCTTGATAAAATTAAACTAAATGCTTTTATTTATCAAGAATTTAAATAATTGATTTATACATAAATTAATGCTAAATTTTGTATCTGGTACTCACTTTAAAATATATTAATTGTAAGCAAAATGAGATATGCTGTAAACCCCATTTCTATTTAAAACGAGATGAATTATAGAAGAATTACTATTATTGCCATGCAAGCTGTAGCATGTCAGATGAGTATTTAGTGGATGGAGAATGACAAAATTATCTATAAATATTCAAAATGATATATTTATGAGAACTTTTCTTTTCACAATTTCTCTTTAAGAAAAATGATTATATATATATATATATATATATATATATATATATATATATGTGTGTGTGTGTGTGTGTGTTTATGTACGCACGCCATACCTAGTTTGAAAAAAAATATCAATTAGTGATTTGTCTTAAGTAGAGTTGTCAATGGATTGAACTCGAATTAGATTTGGAGTTTCATCGGATTTATCATTTAATTTTATAAAAAATTTATGCTTATTATATTTAAAATATTACTTGAGTATAAAATATATTTCAACCACTACATATATAATAAAATATAATAAAATAATATTTCATCTATCAGTTTTGTAAAAATTTCAAAATGCCTCATAATTCAAGAACACAAAATAAAATAATTTTAATAAAAGTTTGTTTTGAGCTAGATAGGAAGCATGATAAAACTCATAATAATAATAATAATCTTTATTTCTTGTCCACATTTTAGCAAAAGTAAAATGATGACAAATATACTAACACCAACTCGAAAAAAAATATATAAGTCAAATAACATTTTTTTTCACAAAATTAAATTAAGAAAATGCTAAAAAATTTATATGTAATTTTTTGAAAATACATTTGTCGCTATGGAAGAATATGCCTTATTAGAATTTTATAATAAATAAAATTTAAATTTCAACCTAGTCAATTTATAATTTTTTCATCGGATTTATCATTTAATTTTATAAAAATTTTATGCTTACTATATTTAAAATATTACTTGAGTATAAAATATATTTCAACCACTACATATATAATAAAATATATTAAAATAATATTTCATCTATCAGTTTTGTAAAAATTTCAAAATGCCTCACAATTCAAGAACACAAAATAAAATAATCTTAATAAAAATTTGTTTTGAGCTAGATAGGAAGCATGATAAAACTCAATAATAATAATAATAATAATAATAATCTTTATTTCTTGTCCACATTTTAGCAAAAGTAAAATGATGACAAATATACTAACACCAACTCGAAAAAAAAAAAAATCAAATAACATTTTTTTTCATGAAATTAAATTAAGAAAATGATAAAAAATTTATATGTAATTTTTTGAAAATACATTTGTCGCTATGGAAGAATATGCCTTATTAGAATTTTATAATAAATAAAATTTAAATTTCAACCTAGTCAATTTATATTTTTTCATCAGATTTATCATTTAATTTTATAAAAATTTTATGCTTACTATATTTAAAATATTACTTGAGTATAAAATATATTTCAAACACTACATATATAATAAAATATATTAAAATAATATTTCATCTATCATTTTTGTAAAAATTTCAAAATGCCTCACAATTCAAGAACACAAAATAAAATAATCTTAATAAAAGTTTGTTTTAAGCTAGATAGGAAGCATGATAAAACTCAATAATAATAATAATAATAATAATAATAATCTTTATTTCTTGTCCACATTTTAGCAAAAGTAAAATGATGACAAATATACTAACACCAACTCTGAAAAAAAAAATATAAGTCAAATAACATTTTTTTTCACAAAATTAAATTAAGAAAATGATAAAAAATTTATATGTAATTTTTTGAAAATACATTTGTCGCTATGGAAGAATATGCCTTATTAGAATTTTATAATAAATAAATTTTAAATTTCAACCTAGTTTAATATTTATATATTTTTCATATTTAATTTTTTTAATATTTTACAAATATTATATTTATTACGAAAATATTATTTTTAATTTTGGGTATGATTATTATTAGATCAAATCAAAATAAATTTGAATTTGATTTATTTAGTAAAAGGCTAATGGACTCGAACTTAAATAAAAAAATATTGCCTACCAAGTTTATTTAATTATATCATATTCAGATCGAATTTAGATCAAGATTCAATGTATTTACAATCCTACTTTCAAGGATGTAATAATCTTACTTAATAAGCTGGACAGCCTTTTTCTTTCTTTTTTTTTTTTAACTGAAAAATAAAAAGCTAAGCTAAAAAATCAAAAGCATATAGCCAGAAATTTGAGATCCATAAAAGAGACGGAAATTTTAATTGCAGCACTAATCGGCATAAATGACAAAACCTTCTTATCAATCATGATTGCCTATAGTTTTCAAATAGAGGTTTTCTCATATTTTATCTGGTATGTTTTGAAGTTTTTTATTAAGATTTTTTTATTTGATTTAGATTTATTATTCAAAATTTATTATTTCAAATCATCAACTATTCATTTGATTTTACATATTATTGTTGACAGTCATTAATATACATGGCATTATGGTTATTAAATAACAATGTTTCCTTTCGAGATAGGAAAAAAAGATTTGAAAATATTTTTAATCATAAACATATTTAAAATTAAAAATAATGAAAAAGACTAATTCACCCCACCCCATTATTGCCCATCTTCATTTAAGTTTCTGAAACATCTTCAGGGATGCAAGAAGAGAGACAAGGTTAAAGGCATCATTAACCTTAAGGTTGGCTTAAACAATTCGGTTATTTGAGCCGAGTCCATTCAATAATCAGTTCAAGGCCATTGTTGCACCTGATGATGAAATTTTAATAAGGTTATGGTTTCAGCAATCAAAGCTTATCAACATAATTATAAGTTTGAGACAAGAACCCTAGATGCCAAAACATTATATGAGATGATGATGCCTCAATGCGGCATGCCGGATTCTAACGTCAAAAAAACAAGTTCAGGGCACAGGAAAATTCAAGGTCATGGCCACCATGGCCTTTTCCATGAAAGTTCTCGTTATGCATTCTTCGATGGGAACTTGACATGGCCGCCTTATAAGACCCAAATCACTACTACATTTCCTTCAAAGATGAGAGGAGAGGATGAAAATTAAGAGGAATATTGAATTTGGGGTTTGTTCGGGAGATTTTGGAATTTTAGAGATTTATAAATTTTATAGTTTTGAGTTCGTTCATATATATATATATATATATATGAGAGAGAGAGAGAGAGAGAGAGAGAATGGATATGAGAATGCAAAAAATAAAATGATTTTGGAATAACAAAGTGGGGTGAATTAGTCTTTTCTATTGATTTTTTTTATTATAATTATTATTTTATTATTAAAAATATTTTAAATCTAATTTTTTTTTTAATTTCGGATGGAAACACTATTATTTGAACCTCATAATATCACATGTCAATCAC